ATTATCAGAAGGATAGAACCTCACAGTCATTGCAGTTAGCTCCCCAAATCCAAATACCTTTGTCTGGCAATCAAGGACAGCTTATTTACTCTATATATTAATCAGGACTCTTGTTTATGAATTACAGAATCTGGCTTGGGTGAGAAGGGAAGGTCAATGGTTCATGAAACTAACAGGAAGAAAAGATGTGGCTGGAACCAGGAGCTTGAACATCATCAGGCTTCTTTGCTTGTCTCTTTTTCCTAGTTCTCTCTGATAGCTCCCTTTCTCTGTGGCCTCTGGCAACTTTAGGCTCACACTTCTATAGATTTTCATTGTACAGAAAAAAAAAATTGCCTTTAATTCCAAATGCAGACATCCTAAGGAAGGTCTCTCACTGAATGCCCTGCTGTAACAATGGGAAGAGTTGGGTGCACAGAAACAGAGGCTGTTATTGTCAGACCCCATTGGAACTATGTGGTTGAGTTGGGGGTGGGGGTGGGAGAGAGCAATTCCCTAAAAGAAGGTGGTGCTGACCAGACTAAACCAAAGAGTTCTGGGTAGATAAAGCAGTTAGTTTTACAACCCACAGTGTGCTATAATAAACTTCTTTGAGCTTATTTTACTCTACTCTTTGAATTTTTATATAAACTACATGAGTCTAGACAATGTTTCCTCAACATGTTATGTACATTTTAGCCACTATGGCTTTTCCAGTACAATTCCTTATGTCTACATCCCACTTCCTTCTCTCTGCCTAGATGTGACCACAAGACCTAGCTGAAGTTACTGCTTCTTGGCCTGCCCTGGGCTTCAGAGATGACATTTGATGAATGTGCCATGTTTATGCAATTCAATTGGTACTAAGTATATATCATCTGGTATTAGAAATTACTCTGCCACGTGTATATCCTTTCTCTCCAACTCTCTTAGAACCATCTTCAGGACAGATGTGTTTAAACTCAGCTGCAGAAATAATTGCTTCTGGTTATTATTACTGTTAAATTCCTGTTTTATAGTTTCCTAGGTTTGAGGAAGGAGAAATTTGGAAAATAACAGCAAGAAAGTCAAAGAATTAGAAAGTATAGTTGTATTCAATATCAACAATCATATAGTAATTGAACTGGTGTCAGCCTCTGTTTTGAGCTTTGATCAAGGGAAGATAATAATAAAAGTTTATCCCTTAGATTGAGTTTGGGTATCGGTTAGGAAACGTCTCCAAAGGCACAAAGTATTTTGAAAAGAAGCTGCTTCCAGGGCTATCAGTCTCCCCATTGGCAAAGAAAAGCATAGAGTTTTCTGTTCTCAAAGCTCTCCCTTTCTCTTACACCGATTTCTACACCCAAGCATAAACACTTTTGTGTTTGACAGGGATGGTTTCACCAATAGCAAATTAAAACAACCCAAAACTATGCTCCTGGGAGTAATGATGGCTTGCCACTTTATCTCTTGCTTAGAACTAGGTATAAAATTGGCACACCTGGGTAGCTCAGTTGGGTAAGCATCCGACTTCAGTCCAACTTCCTGGGTAAGCTCAGGTCATGATCTCGCGGTTTGTGAGTTCGAGCCCCGTGTCAGGCTCTGTGCTGACAGCTCAGAGCCTGGATCCTGCTTTGGATTCTGTGTCTCCTCCTCTCTCTGCCCCTCCCATGCTCATGCTCTCTCTCTGTCTCTCAATAATAAATAAATGTTAAAAAAAAAAAAAAGGAACTGGGTATAAAGTGCACTGTATTGAGTACTATAATTTGGCACTCAAAAATATTATTTTCAATGAATTAACAAATTAGATTTTCAACATATGAATAAAATACTGGATAGTCTATTGAATAAGATACTTAATAAAATAAGTAGAATAGAAAATCCTGGTTCATAAGTAAAAACTTCATATAATATTTTACATGACCAGTCTAGAATAAGGATTTCAAAACTATTTCTCAGTCTGTATTCTTTAGTCCACAATACTAATCCATCAAAAATACTTCACAACTGGTGTAGGTTTCTGGATGAACAAGGGGACACAGTGCGTTTGTACTCATGAGGATAGTTTAAACTCCCACCCAAACTGTCATATCACATTTTTAAACAACAGAATTGACCAGTTCTAGCTTCTTCCTGGGAAGAATGTAGAGACATGGAATTAGTGTTGTTCTCAAATTTATGACAAAAAAACAAACTAAATTCACTTTCATGACTTAAAAAAAACCATTGGCTCTACAACACCAAGAGTGAACCCTAATGTAAACTGTGGACTTCGGGTGATAATGATGTGTTAGTGTAGGTTCATCAGTTGCAACAAACGCATGAGTGTGGTGGGGCATGTTGATAGTAAGGGAGGCTGTGCATGTGCAGGCCCAGGAAGGATGTGGGAAATCTCTGTACCTTCCTCTCAATTCTTCTGTGAACCCAAAACTTCTCTTAAAAAATAGTCTTAACTTAAAACAAACAAACAAGCCAACCACTCATGAGAGACCTGAGGTCACAGAACAAATATGGCCCCAAATCTAAAAAGAGATAGTGATTCCAGGGAGAGAGGGCACACAAATATGTGCTTCTCTGGGGGGTAGATGCAACTGAACATGAATCGGAAGAGCTCAGCTAGGATAGCTCAGAAGTTGGTTAAGGCTATGTGTGGGCTGGTGGAATAGAGTGGAACTGGGTGCTGCAGAAACTGAAGGGGTCTGCACCCTTTTTGTTGCTTTGCAACCTTGGGAGCTTCTCAGGTGAAATCAGAAATTGGTCCCCATACATGGAGAGCGAGGGGAGACTGAAGAAAGACACAGACCACTCTAGGTGGTAGGTGTCAGTCTTAATTAGTAAGAGAATTACATACAAGGCTTGTCTTGGGTAGTTGTAAGATAAGTAGATCTCTGCACCTGCCCGCCAGATTCTTAACGTTTATGTAGAGGCCTTAGTGGGGGATCTGTTGTGCATTCAGTCCAGATGGTCCCAATAACCCATTGCTCTCCTGGGCTACCCTAGAAATGGCTCCTAGTGTGGGAATGGTGGGAAGAACGTATGTTCCAAGGACAGGGGACTAGGTGAGGAGTCTCCAGTTGCCTTCTGTTCAGCTCTCAGGTCAACCAGTGATCACAGCCACTTGATGACCTCCTTCAGCACTTTTGCAGGCTCTTTCTCCATGAACTCCATTGAGCACTCACAGAATAGATCAGAATGAACCAAAGATCTTGAAGGGAGGGGCAGTAGCCCTGTAGGGAGAAGTAAGACCCCCCAGACAGATGAATGAAAACATCAATGTAGCAGGGGAAAGAGAAAACTGGCTGGTTCTGGTATGTTGGTCCTGCCCACTCATTATAGCTGAGGAAAGGGAGCAGGATGTGAGGAAAGTCTATTCTTGGGACAAGGGGCAGAATTAAGTGCAGCCCACAATCAGTGAACGTCAAAAGACAAGTAACAGCAAAATGCTGCTGGGCAAGGGATGGGAAAGGAATAAGAACGTGCAGACAGAGCATTTTTTTTTAATGTTTATTTTTGAGAGAGATACTGTGAGTGGGGGAGGGGCAGAGAGAATGGGACAGAAGATCCAAAGCGGGCTCCAAACTGACAGCAGCAGGCCCATCGTGGGGCTGGAACCCACAAACCATGATATTATGACCTGAGCCGAAGTCCATGCTCAAGTGACTGAGCCACCCAAGCACCGTGTTTTGTTTGTTTGTTTGTTTGTTTGTTTGTTTGTTTTCAGACAGAAGATTTTTGAGGAGCAGCTCAAGAGGAAGATCTAAAACTCAAACAAGTATTGCCCTGATACACATCCACCACCTTAGAAACAAACTATCTATAGGAATTTGAAACCTCTGATGCACTGAGTATCACCATTGCAAAAAGAAAAAAAGAAAGAGAAGGAAAGGGCAGGGAAGGGAAGGAAGAGAAAGAAAAAGAATTGGACAAAATTGGTGAATTACTAACTCAATTAATGCAAAGCCTTCCATTACAATTCTAGAAGAAGGAAAGGCATGCCCATATCCAGGTATATAAACTATGTACTCTGATTTCCACTGACCTACTCAACACATTTGGCTTTTAATAAAAAAAAAAAAAATGAGACATACAAAAAGGCAAGAAAAAGCCAGTATACTACCACGTGACAGAGTAATCATCAGAAATAATTTTCAGCTTTACTATAAATTGCAAGTAATTAAGACAGAGTGGTATTGGTGAAAGGACAGATTTATAGATAAATGGAACAGAATAGAGAATCCAGAAATAGACCCACACAAATATAATCAACTGACTTTTAGCAAAGATGCAAAGGTAATTAAATGCAGAAACACTCATCTTTTCAACAAATCATGTTGAAACAACCCAAACCGTATGTAAACAAGGTGGGTGGGAGGGCTTCAATGCATATCTCACATCCTGTATAGAAACTAACTCAGTTATAAAGGTAAATGTTAATAGTAATTACTCATGCTAATATCACTGGCCCCTGATACGATGCGAAAAGGGCCATTAACTACACGATATTCTTCCCCCAGATCCGTAACATTGATCTATTCGTGAGAAAACATCAGAAAGACCGATATTGAGACAGAGTTTACAAAACAGCTCACTAGGGATACTCTAAATCATCTTTTCAGTGGTTCTATAACTCTAAAGTTGTTTTAAAATTGAAAGTTAAGAAATAAAGAGAAACAGACGTGAAGTCATACACCATGTCTCCCTTTGAGGATAAGGCTGAGGTAGAGTGAACCCAAAGTAGCAACCAGGGAAGCCCATCAAATTAGCATTTCAGTGATTTATACTTGATGCCATTAACTTTCCAATGTTTCCTAAACCTAGCTGGTGCCAGTGGGCCATTTCATTTTCTGTAAATAGGAACTCTGATGGAAGAACTGGAGCTTCTGAAGGGGAAATGCAAGCTCCTTGCTAACTCATGTTCTGCTGCTTAAACCTTCAGCACTTAATTCCCATGATTTTTTTCCACTTCAAGTATTGCAGTGATGGGGTTCTGATTCTCCAGGTTTTGAGTCTCTTGACTTTGCCTCTGCTTTTCATTTCCCCAGATTTATGAGTTTGTGTGGCATTCACATGGATCTGCCCTTCTGTCAAAGTGGCCATAACGGATGTGATCTCACAAAGGTAGGGCTGATCAGCGCCAATGTCACGCTCTAAGTCGTAGTCATACGTTTGCAGCCTGCAAAATGATGGAATGGAATAGACCCTGTTCACAGCGATGTTCCCTTCTTGGGAATTGCAACTGGAGAAGACAGACCCTCACTGGCCATGTCTCTACACCAGTGCCAATCTAGGACAACCAGAGTGTCTATTCCAAAGAGTTTGAAATTTTGAGCTGAAAGATACAGAAATAACAGACTAGTAGAAAGTGTAGGAACTTCTGCCCCTAAAGTTGCCAGAGTTATTTTAATTCTGTTATTTCTCTGTGGTTTGGATATAGCCTATATTAGTTTTCTGTAGCTGTTGTGGCAAATTAGTACACACTGAGTGGCTAAAAAACATGAATTCGTTCCTTAATAGACATTAATAATACTTCTCTCATAGTTCTGGAGGCCAGAAGTCCAAAATCAAGTTGTCAGCAGTATTATACTCCCTATGGAGGCTGTAGGGGAGAATTTCTTCCTTGCCTTCCCTAGGCAAGGTTTATGGCTCCATTACTCCCATCTCTGCCTCTGTCTGCACATCATCTTCTTCCGTGTCTTTCCCCCTTTATGTGTGTCTTATAGAGATACTTGCCATTGGATTTAGGGCCCACCGGGATTATTTCCTCATCTCAAGATCCTTAACTTAATTACCTCAACAAAGACCCTTTTTCTAAATAAAGTCACATTCACAGGTTCTGGGGGTTCTGATGTGAATGTATTTTGGGGGGGCTACCATCATTGAATCCAATACCCCACCCTTCCAATTACTTCCTCAAACTAAGCAGTGCCCATTTCCATCACTTGCAACCAAAAAAAAAATTAGTTTAGGGTCTCTCGATGCTAGCCATGACAGTTGTAAGTGGTTTGTACCACCTGTATACTAAGCTTGACTTCAGAAATTCTGCAATTTCAATGTAGTGTTACCTTGGAACTTAGTGAAAGTGCAAGTTTCTGCCTTCCACCCCAGTTTCTCAATAAATTGGTCCAGGAATCTGCATTTTAACAATTCTCAGGTGGTCCAATGAGAAAAGAACAGGAAAAATTACGAAGGCTCAGACCCTTTAACGTCCAGTTCAAATAAAAGCAAAAGGAAAAGCAATGAAAAATAACTTGAAAACTTTAATGATATTGTTTATATAGTAAAAACATAAAATCTTTTAAATAAGGTACATTCAATTTCTCAGAGCATCTAATATTCAGATAATTTATATTTCATATACTTTCCAACATTAAACAATTGACTAAGTAATGCATTTTCTAAAAAATGATATTACAACTTATATAAGTAAAAGTACATTACAAAAATACTCCACACAGGAAGGATGGCAGTACTTATTAAGAAATGCTATAAACTTTCCATTAAAAAATATATTTTATCTCTCATTTGTCATAATTATAAACAGAATATATATTTTCCTTTCTAAAATTGTCTTACACAGTTTCCCCTTAGGATGATAGTATGTACAAACCTTATATCTGAATGAATATAAATAGAAATACTGTAATAGTGTTACAGATATATTAGTAACTTTTACAGAAAAAAATATGGCTTTCTAATAAAAGCCTCTAGCACAGCTGAAATCTCAAAGCTATTTAAGTTAGACATTCCCATATCTAGTAAGGCACAATGGAATCTAGTTTCTTATTTCCAGTTGAATTACTGCGAGCAGTAATAAGGGAAAATATAGTCAGTAGATAGTGGACCAGATCTATCAGTTGGATAAACCATTTGGGGTTTACTGAACTTTTGGGGGAGATGTTCGTTCTTTCTCCACACCATTGTTTCTTTTTGTGCCCTGTGGCCAAATCTAGTCCTTGGTGATGAGAAAGAAATCATTGCACCCCCGTCAAGTGCCTGAGAAACAGTTTACTCATTCCTTGGATCTGGTCTATTGTGAGGAAATAGCCCAGTGACCATTTCCGGTTATAAGCAGCTTATTTTTACTGATTGGACCTGGTTCCCTATCATTTCTAAAAATAGCTTCTGATATAATCTGTACATGGTGAAGCTGTGAAGGAACCTGATGGTCTTCTTCAGGCTCTGAGTGACCGTTTTGGGGAAGTGGTACGTTTTCAAGTGCTTCAGGGCGTGCATCAGGGCCTTCAGGGTGTCTTGGTCGCCATTTTTTATTCTCCACAGGCTGAGCAGCTTTAGAATCTGCTCACTTGATTTGCATGTCTTCACTGTCTTCTCAATGTCTTCTGTGGTGACTTTCTTCCCCGGCAAGCTTTCCATCAAGCTGCGAAGCTGCTCGAAGGTGAGGTTTGTGTGTCCGAGGTGCCGCTGGACGCTGTTTTCACATAGGTCGATATCTGTAGAAAGCCAAAGCCCAAGGAGACGTTCACATAATGCATACTCCAAGGCCACCACCACAAAACTACTGTGAGGCAAAAGAAGGTTCTCCCAGAATTTCATAAATTTACTTTAAGGATAACCTTCTCCTTCCTTTTTATGGTGGCAAAGGAAGGTTAAGTAATGCTAGTTATTGGTGAGAAATGAGTTAAATATTATTTCTTGTTATAAATGATAATATGCTTTATGTATTCTAGGCATCCGACAAAGCTTTGTGAAAAGCCCTAATTTTGGAAATGAACAGTAAAATACTATAAATGCATCACTCTCTGTTTTCTAAGAAAAATTAAAACCATAACATTTCAGAAAAGTAGAAATATAAGTATTCAAGTTAGCAATTTTGTAATATAAACTTTCACTAGTTGATATTTGATATATACTAGTTGATATTTGAAGAGTTAGGTGTGACGAATGGTCTTTAAAATAAATAGCACCTGAGGATTACTACAGAGAAGATCTGAAAACCCACTAATATGAGGACAAAGAATGGTAGGATCCATATGGCCTAGAGAATAATTTGGTAACGAGCTAGGACATAAACCTAAGAGGGAGTATCTAACATTTCCATTAATGACATGAGTCATTTACTGTCTGTAAGCCCTAAGGCAAGTCAGTTCATCTTTTGGGGATGAAATGTCCTTATTTATGAAACAGAATGTGGCCCCTTCCAATTCTAACAGTATCTGATTCTGTATCCCACCCGCTCACCGCCCCCCCCCCCTTTTTTCCTGCTTCGGGGCTAATTATACTTTCAAAGAATACATTTTGTTTGCCAAAAACAGAAGAAAACTTTACTCTTTGCTCAAGTGAAAGCATTCAGCTGTCAAAGATCTCAGTGTCCTAAAATTTGCTGCCTCAGTTTCAGATGGTGGAAGCTTTTCAGGAAGTGTAGGACTCCACGGTCATCTAACTAGTGACAGGTAAAGAGCAGATGGGTTTCTCACTGACATCGTCTGCATCAAGAAAACCTTCTTCCTTCTTTCAGGCATGCCTTCCCAATGCTAACTGAAGTCAGAACTCTTTCCACTGTGTATCCTAAAGCTTATAGTCCACACTGCATGCAGCTTCCTTTTCCCCTTTGGATTCTGTCCACACAAACACACACACACACACACACACACACACACACACACACACACACAAACACCCCATGCAATTTCTCTTATTTTCTTTCTTTCTTTTTTTTTTTTATTCGTTTATTTTGAAAGAGAGAGTGTGTGTGCAGAAGGGGCGGAGAGAGGGAGAAAGAGAATCCCAAGCAGGCTTTGCACCATCAGCGCAGAGCCTGACGTGGGGCTCAAACACATGAACTGTGAGATCATGACCCAAGCCGAAGTTGGACGCTTAACTGGCGGAGCCACCCAGGTGCCCACACGCAGTTTATAAAGAAGATTCTTTATAAAACTTTAAAACATGAGAGCACTTGGTTTTCACCAGCCCTTTTCTCTAAGAAGCCCGAACATTTTACAGACCTCATCTCATTAATCCTCACAACATATGCTATTAAAATGGTAATTTTAAAATAGGCTATGTTGTGAGGATTAATGAGAGGACATCTGTAAGACACTTGGAGGCTCTCTGGAGATAATTAACAAATAAATACAGCATAGCTTCTTGGTGGAAATGAAAGAGAAAATCCAACGTGTCTAAAGGACATCCAGGTAGGACAGAGGGGATGCTAATAAGACTGCTAAGGGATGTGGAGGTGCGATTCCTGAGGTCCAGTATTTGACATGAACTGTCTCTCACTTTAGAGTGTTCATACACTTAAAAAAGAAGTTGGGGTATGAAAAAAGAGGGGTGCCTGGGTGGATCAGTCGGATAAGCATCCAAGTCTTGATTTGGGTTCAGGTCACCATCTCGCAGTTTGTGAGTTTGAGCCCCACGTGGGGCTCTGCGCTGCCAGTGAGAAAAGATCCTCTTGGGATTCTCTCTCTCTTCCTCTCTTTCTACCCCTTCCCTGTTCTCACTCGCTCTGGCTCTCTCAAAATAAAGAAGCTGAAAAACAAAAAAAGTTGGGGTGTTGAGGAGGTGAGAATGCAGGACTGTTTTAGGGATAGCTTCTACATGATCACTTAGTGAAAACATCTTTAATCCAAGAATAATTCCGAAAGGCAAACACCATCCACACGACTAAACATGTACATTGTCGTCTTCTTGTTTATGATAAATGAGTGTCTTTGATTTCTGATCAATCTGCTTATTTCAGGCTACCCTACCTTGGAAGATCTTCTTGACCATATCTTGATCTTTGTTTTGATGTTTCCATAACTTCAGTAGCTGGAAAGTTTGTTCTTGTGAACTGTATTGCCGCTTTATCTTTTCCACACTCTCCGCATTTACCCTGGTGCCAGGCAAATTGTCTACCAGGATGCTAAGCCAGTTAGGGGTGAATTTTGTAGGAACAGCAAACCTGAAGAATGCCTCCTCACACAGGGTGACATCTAAAGGTGGGAAAACCAAGATTTACTTAACAACTGGATTCTTGGAAGTCTAGTGGACAATAAATAAATAAGCCAGCACCATAAGGTTTTTCAAAATACAGTATGTTAAAATGTGAAATTTGAATAAAATCAACCCTCTGTTGGCTGGTCTTGGTAGCTGAATGTCAACCCAAATGGGCTTATGTCCTTAGGGCATTTGTGGGGGATAGTTTAAACAAATGTCTAATAAAAATATTGCTATGAATGAATTGTAGCAAACATTCTAATGTACACATTAACATTAAAAAAAATTTTTTTAGTGTTTTTTATTTATTCTGGAGAGAAAGAGAGAGACAGAGCACAAGCAGGGAAGGGGCAGAGAGAGAGGGAGACACAGAATCTGAAGCAGGCTCCAGGCTCTGAGCTGTCAGCACAGAGCCCGACAAGGGCTAGAACTCAGGAACCATGAGGCCGTGACCTGAGCTGAAGCCAGACGCTTAACTGACTGAGCCACCCAGGTGCCCCACATTAACATATTTTAATGTAGATCTTAAATATCCTATTAAAGGTTTAGTTGGCATCCACAGGTTACTTCAAGATCAATGTCAAAACAAATATAATTACTGTCTTTACGGGACCTGGAAAAGCAATCTGGAGTAGTATTTTGTTTTCTACACACATAAACACATAGTTTACCTTTAAGAATAAGGAGGGATATAGATGTATAAGCATATATTCCATGGGAAAATAAGAAAACACAAAAAATATGTTGTTTAGAAAAGAGGTACCATGGGGGCACCTGGGTGGCTCAGTTGGTTAAGCATCTGACTTCTGCTCGGGTCATGATCTCACAGTTTGTGAGTTTGAGCCCCGCATCGGGCTCTCTGCTGATGGCCCAGAGCCTGGAGCCTGCTTTGGATTCTGTGTCTCCCTCTTTCTCTGCCCCTCTCCCGTTAACTGTCTCTATCAAAAATGAATAAACGTTAAAAAAATTTAAAAAAAAATTTTTTTTAAAGAAAAGAGGTACAATGGCCTGAGGGGGGTAGAATCTGTTTATCCCAGGGATTAAGCGTTTGTCTTTGGATTCGTCAGACGTGGGTCTGAATTCTGACTTTGTCTCTTCACCACCAATATTGAACCTGAGCAAACTTCACCATGTTTTCATAAAGTTTAAAGCTCATGTAGCAAAGGTACCCGGCACATAATAAGTGCTCCATGAATGATAAAACTAAAAATTAGGGGCGCCTGGGTGGCTCAGTCAGTTAAGTGTCCGACTTTTGATTTCAGCTTGGGTGTTGATTTCATGGTCATGGAATTAAGCCCCACATCAGGCTCTGCACGGAGCATGGAGTCTGCTTGAGATTCTCTCTCTCTCCCCCCCTCTGCCCCTCCCCTGCTCATGTGTGCACACGTGTGCACACTCTCTCTCTCTCTCAAAAAAAAAAAAAAAAGATTTAAAACAATAAAATTAGAAATGAATGAAATAAAGAGAATGTAAAAGTTAGAAGTCACTCCT